AAACCAAAAATTACAAATCATAAACATAAATGGGAAAATTATGAAAATGATCCCTACACATGACTATTCTGCAAAAACGCGCTAAAAGTTTAGGGACTAAACATCAATTTTTCCTAAAATTTTTCTATAAATAAAAACAATTGATTTTTTTTTTCATTTCAAACTGAGTTTTCAAAAAAATCTCTTTTTCCTTTCTCAAATTCCCTTGGCTGGCCCACTACTGGCCGCCTCAAACCATCTCTAGCCATCGTCCGACCACCGTTTCGTCCGCTGTAAATGGTAGTCGGAATCTCGAAACTCAACCAAACACCCTAAAACACTCATCTCACTCACCTAAGACAATGAGTTTTCGTTCACTCAACTTCATGCTTTGGAATATGATGAGGGATTTGTTTTGCTTCTTGTTGGGGGAAAATCAGATCTGGGAACGTCGATTCATTCCATTTTTGCTCAGGGAAGATTGAATCGAGGCAGACTTGTTCCACTGTTACTCAAGGAATAACAAATCTTGAAAGGGAGGGATATGTTCCGTTTCTTCTTGAGGGAAAATCAGATCTGGAGACATTGATTCATTCCACTGTCACTTAGGGAAGATTGAATCGAGGCAGACTTGTTCCACTGTTACTCAGGGAATATCAAATCTTGAAAGAAAATGATATGTTTCACTTCTTGTTGAGGGAAAATCGGGTCTCCGGATGTTGATTCATTCCACTGTCACTTAAGGAAGATTGAATCGAGGCAAACTTGTTCTACTGTTACTAAGGGAATATCAAATCTTGAAAGAGATGGATCTATTCTACTTCTTCTTGAGGGAAAATCATATATGGGGACGTTGATTCATTCTACTATCACTAAGGGAGGATTGAATCGAGACAAACTTGTTCCACTGTTACTCATGGAATATCAAATCCTGGAAGAAATAAATATGTTCCACTTTTTCTTGAGGGAAATACCAGATATGGGGACGTTGATTCATTCTATAGTCACTTAGGGAAGATTGAATTGAGGTAGACTTGTTCCACTATTACCCAGGGAATATCAAATCTTGGAAGAAAGGGATCTGTTTCGCTTCTTCTTGAGGGAAAATCAGATATGGAGGCGTTGATTTATTCCACTGTCACTTCAGGGAAGATTGAATCGAGTTTGATTCGTTTTTTCTTGTCTTCAAGAATATCAAATCTAAAAAATAAACATTAGCCTTTGTTAGTATGTGTTTGAGGATTCGAAAACATCATACCTGAAAGTCTTGGGAGGATAATCTTTGGAAAGTGATTTCTCATGCGGAAACTTGTATTTCAGCCACCGAACATGGAAACCTGCATTGGTTACTTTTTATATTGGGTCCTTACATCTCCATCTTTTCCTTTTAGAGAACATGTAAGTTCTCAATTGCATTTATCATTATCATGCATTTATGTCATGATCCTATTTATGCCTAAAATGTGTGCAATGGTACAGTTCTTTTTAGGGTATTTTCTTTTCAAACGAGAACTTTCTCTTGTCGACGGCCTTGTAATTCAGTCGAATTTGGGGAACGAAAAATCAGCAGTAGTTCACCCTGGCTGACAACTCTGGTCGGACACTCTTTGGTTGAACGTGACTTTGATTCTCTTTACTCTTGAACCCAGGCGCTTTCCATGACCAGCTACTTGATCGGTGACAAAACCTCTTGGATTATCCCACCTTGCTGAGATTTTACGTGTATCCCAAAGGCTTTAACTTCCTATTGCCCAACATCACGTAAGCATCATGCTAAAGCCATTTTCAACTTCGGAATACCTGCACTTTTCCAAAACTTTTTGTACAATAATGCACGATGATCTCATGTTTCCCGAGTTAATCTACATGTTTTTATTTTCAATTAGGATGCTTGCAACGTGGTTTTAACAAGAAAAATACCATTTTTTTAATTTATAAATAAAGAATTTTGGGTAAATACATGGCAAACTTTTAACTAGAATAATCAAAAGAAAACACAGTAGGCATCCTCAGATATTAAGTATAATTTTTTAATGACAGGTAAGCAATTTTTTTATTTTTTAATGAGTAACCAAAATAAAATAAAAACAAAATATTAAGTATAATTTTTTAGAAAATAATAATTGAATGACCAAAATGAAATAAAAATGATAGTTAGAGTACTAAACATATAATTTACCCTCAAAATTTATATTCCCACGACAGTAATCTTTTGATATGAGCAAATGGATCGAAGTGGTTATCTAAATAGTCTCGAATATTTTGTTCATATATAGGCATGTAAACGAACCCGAACACACACGAACGGAGGTATGTTCATATCCGTTTATTTAATAAATAAACGAACATAAACGAACATGAACATAAACGAATAATTTTTTTTTTGTTCATGTTCGTTCATTAAGGAATATAGCTTGTTCATGTTCGTTCACGTTCGTTCATTTAAATGATAAGCGAACATAAACGAATGTAAACGAACGAACACAATAAACGAACATAAAAGAACAACACAAACACAAAAAACAAACTTATTCGAACACAACAAATAAAGTCTGAAAGTTAATTTGTTCAACAAAACAATCTTCTTGAAATCCAAACAACTTCAATAATCTTCGTAACATATTCAACTTGCCATCTGTTCGAACAGAAATAACGAACATAAATGAACATAAATGAACGAACATAAATGAATGAACATATAATCGAACGTTCACGAACGTAAATAAACGAACGAGCCCTTTGTTCGTGTTCGTTCATTTAATTAAATGAACGTAAAATCTTGTTCATGTTCGTTCATTTATAAATAAAAAAACATAAACGAACTTCCCGCCGCACGGTTCATGAACGATTCGCTGAACGTTCAGTTCATTTACATGCCTATTCATATATATATATATATATATCTAATAATTTAAAATAATAATAAAATGTTATTTGCTTAGAATTATTTTTAGCATGTTGATAGTAGACACACATCTTTTCCACTCAGTTATATAAATCCAAAATTTGAAGAGAATAATATTTTTTATCATTAATATAATTTAATAAATTTAAATTTTAATATTCTTAAAAGGATTAAATTTAATTATTTTCTATAATATATTAGTGCCGTATTCTATTTGGTTTATTATTTGGTCTACTATTACGTAGTAAGAGCCGCCCACGGGGACCGACCATCACAGTCGTTCCATTCTTTTTCAAAGAAAAATTCATTTCTTCTCTTTCTTTTTAATTTTTGGCTTAATATCGCATTTTCTTCAACTACTTTATTCTAACTTAAAAAATATATTTTTTCAAAATTATAATTATACTTAATTTATTTTTTTAAAAGATCATAAAATCATTAAAAACTGTATAAAAACTCATAAGAAAATTGAAAAATCCAAAATTTCTTAAAATGTTATGATTTTTTCAAAAGAAAATTTGGATTTTCTTATTTTTAAAGGCTGTGTGTTTTTTTATGATTTGATTTGATTTTTCTGTTTAAAGATTATAAATATTTATTAATTTATTTATCATTATATGTCACAATCTCTAGTTAAACTTTTTAATAATAACATCAATTGTTGGACAGAGTAAGTGGTAAACTTAAAATTAAATAGTACACGAGTCAACTTGAAAATTAAAGTACCAGATAAAAGGCAGAAGCGGGGCTATGACAATAATCAATTTGAGCACGGAACAGTGTCTCGAAATAACAAGTATCAAAAAAAAATTAAATTTATTACAATAAAAATCTTATTTTTTGGGTTTAATTTCACTTTACTAAAAATGAACTCATATTCATGATCATCCTATCTTACACCGTTAGAATTTGAGTTAGTAATATCATAATCTCTCTGTATATACTGCATTTAAACTTTATAATTTTTAATAAGAATCTCTTTTTAAGAAATTATATGAAGACTTCAACGTCCTAACCCGACTATGATAAAAAGTGACTTTAGGTCTACTTTTCTCACGTACATTTCATCATCACATAGAAAAATGGGGTTGTAATATAATTTCCCATCAACACATCATTTGGATAAAGTTTGTCCCCAATTATTATTATTTTGAGTAAACTAAACGTTTAATAATCTAACTATAACTTTTATTCCGTTTCAATCATGTAATTATTATTTTTAAATACCTAACATTATATTTTAATTTTGTTTTGAGCATCTATCGTTAAAAAATTCATAGAACTACTGACATGATATTTTTAAAGAAAATTTTCAATAATGACATGATATTACCTTGTGATAACATGTTAGCATCACCGTTAATTTTATAAAGGTGGGTGACCAAAAATATAACCAAAACGTAAAGTTAGGTATGATTTTGAAATAAAAAATAGATAAGTGACCAAAATGAAATCAAAATGATAGTTAAGGTACTAAACGTGTGACTTACCCTATTACCTTTCCTTCTAAAGTGTGCCATTATATAATCTCGGATGACAAAAAAAACTCGAACCCGACAGGGAAAACCAAAAATCGAATTAAACGGGATGGAGAAAAACCGTTTATGCTAAACGGGGACGGGGACGGGGAAAATCCGTTTATGCTAAACGGGGACGGGTTTGGTAATCCCTACCCCGATTATCCGATTACCCGGCCCAATACCCGACCCGATAAATATTAAAAATAATTATATATATATATATATAATATTAATAAATTTAATTTAATTTAAATTAAATTAATATATATATATATATATATATAATATTTATATATATTTAATTTAAATATATATACCATACTCGATACCCGGCCCGATACCCGTTTAAATAACCGTTTATGCTAAACGGGGATATCTATTTAAATAACCGTTTATGCTAAACGAGGATACTCGTTTCCCCGCGGTTTTCCCTGATTACCCGATGGGGATCCCCGTTAAATCCCCGCGATTTTTTAAGCGGGAACGGATACAGGTTTTTTAAACGGAAACCGGACGGGGACCAATACCCGGCCTGAATCTGCCCGTTGCCATCCCCCCTCTCTCTCTCTCTCTATATATATATATATATATATATATATATATATATGTATATTACCACTGTTGAACAAGAAGACATGGCAAACAATATGGCAGAAGAAGTAAAGCTTTTCAAGACATGGTCAAACATTTTTGGCTTAAGGGTTGTTTGGGCGTTGAAGCTCAAAGGTATAGAGTATGAAGCAATAGATGAAGATCTATCCAACAAGAGTGCTCTGCTTCTTCAGTACAATCCTGTGTACAAGAAAGTCCCAGTTCTTGTTCACAATGGAAAGCCTGTCTCAGAATCACTTCTGATTCTTGAATATATTGATGAGACATGGAACCAGAATCCGATATTGCCCGAAGATCCTTTCGAGAGAGCCAGGCAACGGTTCTTGGCCAAGTTCAATGAGGAAAAGGTAAAGATTTTCAGTTTCTGTATGCACTGGTTTTTGTACAAATAAACATGGGTGACATCTTGTTCTTGATGCAGCTTTTACCAACAATATGGGCCATTTTCACCAAGGAAGGGAAAGATCGAGAGGAAGCGATGGCCGCATCGGTGGAGAATCTGAAGTTCGTTGAAGAAGAGCTGAAAGGGAAGAAATTCTTCGGCAGCGAGAAGATTGGACTGGCGGATCTCGTTTTCGGTTGGATGGCGAACTTGATCGGTATTTTTGAAGAGGTAATTGGCTTGAAAATAGTTGATGAGAGATATCCACTATTGTTGGCCTGGATGCAAGAGTTTTATGAACTCCCTGTGATTAAAGATACATGGCCTCCTCATGACAAGATGATCATCAAGTACCAAGCACTTTATGAAAACTACCATCCTGCAAAATGATCCGTTTGTGAGGTCTTTCCATGGAATGTTTTACATTATAATTTAGGCATCATATTGCTGTAATAAGTTCAAAACTGTTTGTCAAGGCATGGCCTTTTAGATAATATATATGTATATGAACGTGTCAACATGTAAGCATGTATTTGCACAGCTCATTAGCAAAATGAATCTCTGTACTTTTTCATTTTCCTTTTGATGAAGAGAATGGAGGCATCGGCATGGATGCATCACCAACGATCTCCACAACTACAGGTTCCATCCTTAAAAAGATTAAAACGATTGGCGTCCCTTACTAATATCTCCCTTTTCATAGTCATTGATATATACTTGGTCACAGTGTGACAATCCCGCAAACGCGAAGGTTTTTCATAATCTGCAAATGTAGTCCCGGGCTCTGTGTTCAATAATCCAAACGCCATTGCAAGCCTTTCACTGTGCCTGCAAAGCATGTCTCTTCTCTGATCCTCTTGAACGTCGTGCAAAACATATCTCAGATCAGCAACATAACCTTCCTTAGCCATCAACCCCGAAACTATCCCTAATAACTTATTAACCTCTTCAAATTGTTCAAAGAACTTATCCCCTGTTCCAAACACAAAATCTTCTTTTTATTTCTATCCAGCTACATCCAGGATCTTTTTTGAGCCCTCTAGCTTTTATGGATTTTCGTATCCTTCTTGTAAGAATTATTACCTTATAGTGACATAGGTTCCATTGGAGAATAAGCACTAAACATAGTGTTGTAGTCTCCCGTCCGAAAACCTTGACTATATATTTTTAGATATTTTTATTTTTTAAAATTTTAAATAATTTTTAAATAAAATGCAATATTTTTTTATGAATTTTATAGAAATAATTAATATTTCTTTTAATTTTTTAAAATTAAAAATTTTCATATTTTTATAATTTTAATAATATTTAATATTTTTAAATTAATTTTTAAAATTTTTAAGAAACCTTAATTGGGCTGAAAATAAAATTTTGATACTTGATATAATAATAATCATAATAATAATAATAATAATAATCATAATAATAATAATAATAATAATAAGTCCGTCAAAATTGGAGTTAGAAGTACAATCATGATAATTTGGGAGTTAAGTGTGCTTATAATACTTGGGAGTTAAACATGAGAAACATAAAATTTATGGACTAAATTATAAAAACTCAAAAGCTAGAGGATGTAAATGAAAATTATGAAAAGTTAACCCTAAAAAATTTGATGGCCTACCTTGCAGTTAACCCTACCTATTATTCCCGGAGATAAAGAATAGTGTTTTCGCTCTTTTTCTCACCTTTTATTTTGGTTTACGCGACGCTAAGGTTTTTTCTCTTGTTCAAGGGATTGGGAGGCATCAAAGTCAGAAGAAACTATAGTCCTCATCGTCGTAGCCAGATTACAACACGTGCAAGAAAGAGGTACGTTAATGAACCTCGTGATCACCACCGATCCCACCGTCACCGATTCCCTCTTCTTTTTTATTTTCTCATTCGCAATCTCCCTATCGATGCTAGCCCGGAAGATCTTAGGGTTTCCTTTGAATGATATGGTTCGGTGAATGATGTTTATCTGCCGAAAGAAAAATTATTACTCAGGGTACGCCATTGATTCGTCCTTTATTCATATGTCTGTGTTTGTTCTGGTTGTTTCTTTGTTGACGATTATAGTGTACTTTGAATAGAGCTTCATGCTATTATAATGTCTTCTGCTGAAATTGTTTTTCTATCCTTTTGATGGCTTACTAATATTTTGTTTTTAGTACCAATAAAGGTGCCCGACTCTTTAATTATGCTTAGTAATGTTATGTGGCTTTGTGAAGTTTCGGTATGGTGAAGATGCAGCTGAAGCAAAAGATAATCATCGTTCTCCCAGGTGATCTAGAAATGTTTCACGGTCTCTTTCTCTGCGTTCTCCATATGGTGACTGGGAATACAGAACCAAGCAGAGGTCCCCAAGTCCTAGGGAGAATGGTCAGTGTCCACATGATTATAAAGATAATGTGCACATGTTAAAGAGTCCAAGGCGTGTCAATTGTAATCCTTCAAGGCCTCCTCCTTATGGTGTTTTGCACACATGGTTACTACTGAAAACTGTTAAAAGTATATCTAAAATTAACTTTAAGTGTGCAAAGAATTTTTTTTGCACAAAGTATTATTTTAAATGTCTACATTGTAAATAGGGATGATAATTTAACTCGAATTCGACGGGTTCTGACCCGACCAGATCCAATAAGGTTAAGGTTGAATTCTTTTTAAAAAAATTCAGGTTCTAGTCGGATTGGGTCGAATTTTTTAAGGGGTGAGGTTGGGTTTAAGTTGAGGGAGAAAAAACTCTGACCCGATCCGAGGATAATAATGTAATTTCTTTAAAAAGTTTATTATTATTTTTAATTAAATCCTTATTTTATAATGGGTCGGGTCAGACTAATACTCTAAAAATTCGGTTCGAGTCTGAGTTCGGTGGAGGATATATATTTTTAGGTCGGGTTGGGTCGGATGAAGGATATATAATTTTTGGGTTGGGTCGGGTTTGAGTAGAGGGTATATATTTTTGGGTTGGGTCAGATTGACCAAAAACCCAATCTTAACCTGACCTGTTGTCATCCCTAATTGTAATAGCTGTTAAAAAAGATGTTATTTGACACATGTCATGCTTATAAATTTTTTATTGTTTAAAAAATACTTAAAAGTATTATTTAAAGAAAACTTAAAGTTTTTATAAAATTACAAACAAGCTTCAAAATCCTAAAAAATCCTAATTTCAGTCTCTTTACCATCTTCGATCGTCACCAACGTTAGGGGTGAGCAACGAAACCGAGAAAATCGAAAAACCGACACGAATCGAGTAAAACGGTTTGGTTCGGTTCGATTTGGCTTTAAACAGTTCGTTTTTCGGTTCGGTTTAAAGGCTTCAATTTTTGATTCGGTTCGGATTTTCCATATGGAACCCATTTGTTCCATATTGAACCGAATAGGCAATTTTTGTAAAAAAAATTATAGTTTCAAGTGATTTTTTCATTGAAAAAGCGATAAACTGAACCGAACCGAAAAACCTGAACCGTTAAAAAAACCGAACCGAAAAAACCGATTTTGGTTTTTTTCGATTTTTAACTATTCAATTTCAGTTTAAATATTGAAAAATCGTTTATTTCGGTTCGGTTCAATTTTTAGTAAAAAATCAAACCAAACCAAATCGAATACACCCCTAACCAACGCTGCCATTCAACAGATACTTTAATGACGAGAGACTACCTGAACCCCATCCTTCAAGCGATTATTGTAATGGAAAATGAACGATTGCAGGGCCACTATTTTGGGTAGATGATTTCAACAACGGTAATGATTTCAGCGATTTAAGTTACAATTACTTCTGTCATGCGTTGAAATCCGGTTAGATGAAATGAACGACGATAAAGGGCGATAATCAGGGGAACATCAAGCGGCTGGCGTGAATGAAAGAGTTCGGAGTCAAGATTCTAAAGTTAAGAAAATGTTTATTTAAAATAATAAAATCTTAATTTTTTATTTTTAAATTAAATTATAAAATTTCATAAGCATTAAATGTGTTAGATAACATAATTTTTTAACGGTCATGATGAATTAGGTATCTAGACACTTAAAAAAATAACATAAAAAACGTTAAATAAACATATACTTTGAACGAATTTTTTTAAATACCTATAATTAATAAAAACTATAATTTAACACTTATTTTTATGATTAAACTTTTCTTTTAAAAGCGATTGTACGAACCAATTAAACAAAACTCGAATTTCTTTTCCAGCGTACGAGTTTCGAATGAACTGGGGAGAGGAAGTGCCGAGGCAGTGAAATTTGCAATAAAAACAATACTGGGAATCACAACAAGTATAGGGATTGTATTTTGGATATTATGTCTGTCTTTCGGAAATTGAACGGCATACTTGTTTTCCGATGATGAACAAGTTGCAGAAACAGTCTCAACTCTCTCAATTTACTTGGCTTTTGCAATTTTAATCAGCAGTGTTCAGCCGGTACTCTCGGGTAAACTATTCTAAACTTATCATACCCCAATATTTATACAGCATAATATCAAAATATTTTCTTAATGTTTGATTAAATAATCACTTTAGATTATATTTTTTTTAAAACAATTAGCTTTAAATGTTTGACTAAATAGTCACTTTGGACTATATTTTTTTTTGAAGCATTTTGACCATCAACGTTTCACTTTTGGTCAAAAAGACCTTATGTGGATGGAAACTTAAGTTAACAAACGGTTAATGTTCTAAAATATAATCTTTTACCCTAAAATGAAGTCCAGGGTCAAAATACTCTAGAAAAAAAGGGCTAAAGTAATTATTGGATCAAAAGTTTGAGGCCATTTTGTCTTAAAATAAAATGCTGAGAATTAAAATGTTTAAAAAAAATAAAATAGAGGTCAAAATAATCATCTTAGTAAACGTTGAGAGCTAATTTTGACATTATACCCGTTTATATATTAAGCCTTAATTCATGTATATATGTTATGCAGGTATTGCCACAGGAGCTGGTTTGCAAACCACAGTAGCATATGTGAACTTGGGATGCTATTATGGAATAGGAATACATATTGGAATTCTGCTTGGATATGTTGCTGATTATCAAGTTAAGGTAAAAACTATATATAACAACACGTCGCTATGTTATCATTGAAAAGAAATAAAAGTATAATCAGTTATGTTTATTTTTAATGACGAGTGATTAAAAGAGAACAAATATATAATGTCATGTATAATTTTAAAATAGTTGAGTGATCAAAATAGAATTATGAGAATAGCTGGGCAACTTTAATTTAATACTGTCACTGGATATGGAGTCCCAAGCTTTGCTTCAATGTTGCCTCTGCTTATGTGTGCTTGGTGTCGTAACCGTCTTTCGGTTGGGCCCCGGAATTGGGCTTCGACTTGAAAAATGTGATTGGATTCGCCACCGATTATTTATTTAAAAAATAAATAGGTTAATCGGATACCTTATATC